TAAACTGCATCATACAACAATGTTTTCAAGAAGCCAACACTTCAAGGATGCAATTGTTTTCCCCTTGATCCCTAAATTAAGCAGTGGGAGTAGGTCTTTTGTTTATGGATTTGAAACTATTTTGTTTTGCAATTGAAGGGGTTACACTGAATGAGATGCAAATCCTATGTCAAAGGTTCATGCATTGTGGAAAATGTGGTTCTTGTTTTGCCATGTGGTAAATTAATCATCATTATTTGTGAACTGGGTGTTATCTGTGGACAAGAGTAGTGCCTGGCACAGTGTGAACACAAGGAAATGAACTGTGGAGCAGAATGTCAACATTATACCTTCCAGTTGGCCAGTTCCTGGGACTCGATGATTTTAATGAAGCCTCCCATTATAATCCCTGAAAAAAGGAAGGAGACATGAAAAACAAGCAGCCATTGTTTAAATATTTTACTACTTCATGTGAAAATTTCAATACAACCCTAACATCGATGGGGTGCAAACCAGAGGCAAAGTACTATTTTAGTGGTAAATGGATGCCTGACAATGTCCACCATAGTTCAGGTATAAATTAGATATGAAGAGCTATTTTTTCTTTGAGAAGGCCCCTCTGGGCCTTCAGCTTTCTTGCTACAGAGCCAAGCAGAACATTAATTAAAAGGGCGATGAAAACACAGACATGTAAAGGGCACAGAAAAATAGAGAGATAAGACAGAAAAAGAAATTAAGTAGAAGCATCAAAGCATTGCATAGGACACAGAAATAAAGGCAGGCAGTTATGTATATAGGAAGACACACACTGTCTAGATGAAAAAGAGGAAGTGATGAGGAAGGGAAAGCGGTCATTCCTGATTTGTAAGCAGAGTGTTATCTCTTTTCAGCACAGTCCCCTGTTCCAAATACTGAGATAACCTCTGTCTCAGACACAGCATGCAGGTCAAGCAAAAGGAAAAGACCTTCAGGGTCAAGACAGATGTATGTCACTGAGTTTGAGTGAGTGTGACATCACAAATATGCAAAAAGGGAGACAATGGAGGGATTTAGAGGAAGCAGAATTAACCTGACATTACCTCACACAATATATAAAACTGTATAGGAACAAAATCTCTTTTTACAACAAAGCATTTCCTAAATCTTGAGTAAAGCTACCAATAAAACCATTATTATTGTAACCGTACAGATGTTTAGCTGATTCATTCCCTCCTGGCCTCACACAATGAGGCACTAAAGTTAGGAATTAACCCATACACCGTATATTTGAGAGAAAATACAAAAAAAGACCAGAGCAAAAATATGTAAATCATGAGAATAAGCATAAACTTCATTATTTATACAAGCTCTAAAAGAGTCTAAGTGGAGCAGTGCGGAGCTCTTAAATACAGAACCAGACTCTGGACTCTGCATGTGCAGAGAAGCATGTTACATAAAAAGTACTCACCAAGGGAAACAACAGCCACACTTTCTGGAAGAAAATGCAGCTTGAACTTGATGAGCAAGTGCACCAATATGATGCCGATACCTGGAGTGAGTGGGGAGAGCAAAGACCCATGAATGAAAATTGAAGATAAATACATACATCTATCCAGACTGCAATGTCACAGCAACTCAAATCAGTCCAAAAATAGTCAGCACATCATAGAATGTTAACATCTTTTTTTCTTGCTGCTTTGCTAGACAAACCCTACTGTAGACTGGACAGGGATGTCAGTATAAAACATATTAAGCTTTAGGAGTGCCATTAGGGTGTGTGTGGTTGTCTGTCTCTGTGTGTCAGCCTTGTGATACACTGGCGACCTGTCCAGCATGTACCTTGCCTCTCGCCCATTACATGACTTAACTTGCAGTGAACTAAAGTGCAAAATGAGCACTTTGTGTTTCTGAAGAACTCCATAAGCTCACACACATTAATGTGTAGCCACATCCTTTCCCTTAACCACTTCCTTTATCCGCAATTACAATCCTCATACTTGATTTAATGAAACACTAAAGTGATTGTATATTTGCCCTCCATTATTGGAATTATGTGGAAGTTATGCTTTCTACATGAGCACAATGATTACGTTAATTTACATCTCCCCTTCCTGCAAGATCATATGTTTGTGTTTGGTGGTTATAGAATACAGCTTTAATGTCATGTAGGATCTCAGAAAGGCACAACACTGAAAACATTGTGCATGGGGAGTTTATGCTAACAGTAACACACTAAAACAGTAATAAGGCAGAAAAAAACTGAGTCGGACAGGTTTTCAACCAGGGAAGCACAGTGGCGTGGTAGGTAGCACCGTTGCCTCACAGCGAGAAGGTTCCGGGTTTGCGACCTTTGCATGTTCTCCCTGTGCTTGCGTGGGTTCTCTCCGGGTACTCTGGCATCCTCCGACTGTCCGAAGACATGCGGCTTAGGTTGATTGGTGACTCTAAATTGCCTGTAGGTGTGAACGTGTGTGTGTGTGTGTGTGTGTGTGTGTGTGTGTGGTTGTTCATCTATGTGTTTGCCCTGCGATGGGCTGGTGACCTGTCCAGGGTGTACCCCGCCTTTCGCCTGATGCCAGCTGGGATTGGCTCCAGCGACCCCGTTCGGGACTAAGCAGTATAAAAAATGAGATGAGGTATTCAACTAAGCAGCAGGAAAGAGACTACCAACCAATAACAAGCAGGCTGAAAAATATGGTCATCCCACTGGACTGCTCTTCCTCTTGGGCCTTGACCCCTGTCTGTACGGGCAGAATGGGCTTGGGGCTTGGGGGTGCCGGAGTGGTCGGCTTGACAGTAGGTGTTGTAGAGTGGAGAGTGTCATTGCTGTAGTTATCAGTGTCATTGGACTTGCTGCAGGAAGACAGTCAGGAGAAAAAGCATATTGATGTGAGGAATACATTTTACACCTAACCCCACCTAAAACCTTTTATATTTTCATTTGGATGTTGAAACAATTTCATATTTAAAGTTTATAATCCCAGCCCCAAATAGAGGGACTCAAATAAAGGGACCTTAGAAAAGCCTGCAGTCATTTAGAAGTGCTAAAAGTTGCTATGTCAAGGTGGTCCCCTACAATTCATACAAGTCATTTGTTTAAATTCATGCCACTTTGGGTACTCTTTTTGAGTTGTATATCGAGAAATTACTGTAAATATGTTAGGTGCAACTGTACAAAACAGGAAGAGAAAAATAACTTAAGATGCATAAAATCCCCATACTTTAAATTAAGTACAAACTAATTGTATGACCTAAGTCAGACTGATAATATATCTAAGTTACATAAACAGATATTATATTTGTGAAGCTGTGTGTAGATACTTAGCCTAACTGATTTCCGCTGTATCTAGGAACATTATCTACTGTATACATGCTATTCATATCTGTAGAAGGTCAGTTTGTTGTGTGTTGTTAGATGCCAGTGGGTCTAAACACTGGAATATTTGGTTTGTTGTTAAGGGCTCTGAATAATTCCGTGAATGATAGGTCATGGTAATGGCCTAATAAATGATTAATCCGTTATTTTATTCATTCAATCACTTCAGAAATCTAGCCCCTGTTTATGTTGGTATAAAGGGTTGTGCTATAATTAAGATTAAAACTATGTTTATTTAGCTAAGATTAAAATCTGTGAATGTCAGCTGTTATTAAGCAGGTTGACAACGTGTCTGAATTGTTCGTCAGACTGCCATAGAGCCATTAGGAACTAAGGTATTGTTAGCAAGCTAAATGAGGCTAAGTTCCTCTGTATATGGTCCATGCAAGTGAAGCGAGTATTTGTTGTCTGAAACCTGACAGACGGCCCCTTCTTCTGTGGATCGTTTGAACCGGGTCCATCTTCTTTGTCATGATTTATTAACGCTTGTTGGTTTTCAACTGGACTAATATCTTGATTCAACCCTCTGTCTTCATCTTTCTCACGCAACTCCAAAGAGTTTTCTCTCTCAGCTTGCTCTAGCACGCACGGCTTTGCGAAAAACAGAAAGAACAGCAACAAAACTTCATGGCTAACGCTTCTCATTGTCAAACCAGGTTTAAACCCGAAAGTAATGACATGTAGTAAAAAAGACGGTCTGTTCCATGTCAACAGCTCCGTGTAACTGTTGACATCACATTTATATTTCCTGGTTAGGGTCCTGCATGGTGTTGTAGTCGTTACGCTATACGGACGGCATTAAATAATGGCAAAGTAGCGAAGTAGCGCGGTTTGATGCAACTGTTGTTGTCATAAAACGTGTGCGTTTTGTCACAGTGGATAAGACTTATCTTCCAATGGTTCAAACAAAAAGTCGACATTCTTAGTAATTTCTAAGTACTCAATTTCCCATGAGTCATTGTAATGTAGCGTCAGCCGCCCGCCTGCTGTTTCATGGATATTGAAGTTTTATTGTAGACTACACCCGCGTGTATCGTCTTACCTGCGTGTAAGGCCACAAATTAGGAAAATCTACATATTTATAAACCAAATAAGGAAGTATATTTTTAAAACAATATTTGTTTGAAATGTAAAAATATGTGTACGTTAAATGTTCATTGTTGTAAAGAAATGACATGGGATGGACATAATATTAAAATTTAGCCAGTGCAGCTTACTTGCGCCACAAAGAGTTTCGAGTTTTAACAAAAACTGCGCATTGTTACCCACAAATTGCACTGAATTCGGATTAAGATCAGATTTTCTCGAATTAGCACAAAACCTCCTAACCTTTAGTGTAAAATTTAAGATAACAGAACTGACAATTGGTACTTCGAAAAGTCTTAAATTCGACCCTATTAAATATGAATCCTATAGCCTAGACTAAACGATCTTGAAAATGCAAAGACTAGTCTACATAAACATTCATTCATTCATTCATCCATTTTCTACCGCTTAGTCCCTGAACGGGGTTGCGAATCTACAGAAACACTGCTGAGAAAATATACTAAAAGTACTATAGTTTTAATGTTTCTTAGTAAATAGTGTAACAGCTATAAACTTTTAACCCACACCCCATTTGTAGGGCAGTTCATTTAAAAAGCTAGTCTCTCATTTTTGCTAGTTTCTGATCATCTTGTCCTGTGCCATAATGTTAAGACACCGTCGCGACGGTTGTCAAAGGGCTTACGTAGTGGTCGCTAGGTTACGCTGTTTAACGTGCGTTTAACATCCATGGCTTTACGGTGGGAGCACGTAGTTTTTGTTGGGCAGTGTTAACGCCCACTAAGGTATTGGTCATTTTGCGGAGAGGCATCTCCATTCATGGGAGCGGCAACATCATCAGCGACGAAGAGTGACAGCCAAATGATGGTCAGTCACTGAAAAGACTAGGCCAGGTTAAAACCGCGGTTTGGCTGGCAGCCGTTTCGACGACGGAGGTACTCTGAGCTAAAACCGAAGGGACTCTCAGGAATGGCTTTTGAATCTCTTGTTTGAATACTGGAGGTCCTATTCTGTGCTCGACCTACCATGACAACGGACTGACTTCCTAGTCGCCTAGTCACTCGCCGCTGCCGCAGACCAAGCTCCCTACTCGGCCCATTTATCCTAGACTGTCCGCGGACTACCGGCTCTGGCATCTGGACATATCGGAACTGGACTGTAGTTGTAGATACGGAAACGTGTGAGTGTGTGCGCGCGTGCTGCTGCTATCTGTATGATGCCGACACATTTAAGGTTCCGAAGAAGGTCATTCCTTGGGCTTATATTCCTGTTTTCACTGTCCACCTCCGTATTGTACTTCATCTACTCCGCCCCAGGAATCGGTAAGTAAAATGTAATTGATGGTATTATCTGAAACACTCAGACGTTCGGATGAAGTGAGGCAGACTGAATGGGCTGTTAGGTCATGTGAGACAGCTCAACTTGCCATTGGGTGTGGAGAGCAGCAAAGGAGCCATGCGCCTCTGCTGAGCCTTGATCTCCCAGTCGATGATGAGACTCATTGCTGCAACTCAGTCCTCTAATATCCATATACCTGGCCAAGATGATAGTCCTGTCTAATGAGAATCAGAGCGACTATAATCAAGCCGATGCTAGTATAGGCCTAATATAGCTGTGATTATAATCCTTATGGTAAGGACTAGGCCAAATGAAAAAATGGTGTTTTGGCTTTGACATGAGGTTCGTCGTTGGCATTCATAGATTAGGGAAATTTGACACATGTGTGGTACAAAGCTACTCCTGGTTTACTGTTTTATGGCCCACCAAAGGTCACGTTATGAGTCATGTATTCCGAGCCCTAAATGACATTTGTGGCTTTAAGCGGAGCATCACTGTTATTCAAATCACTCCTCACATCATTTTTTTGTCTGTAAGTCACACATGTTCAGAGTCACTCCTATCATTAATTCATACACATGACGTCTTTTTGAGTATTTCACGAATTCTCTCTTGGCACCACCTAGCTCAGGCTATGGTCCAAGTATCTTATCGGTCTAGATATGTAGGGTCAGTTATGTTTGCTCTTTTGGTCATTATCATCCACTCATGCCATACCCATACATCACTTAGTTTACTGTATCTGAATGTGCAGAGCTTATCTTGTATCTTAGCACTTACTGTAAAAGTGGGACTTTCACCTGACTCTGTCCTTGACTCTGTGCCAATCAAAGCTGAATAACTTTCCACTGATTGGATTTAAGAACACTGGCGAATGTGCAAACGGGCAGCAATAACATGGTTGTCTATATTCTCCTGTTTTTGGCAATATTTGTAGAAACACAAGGTGCAGCTATAAGTTGACTCTTGGGACTAGTTTCCTATTTAATGCCTGAGCCACAATTATTTGGGTGTCCTGTTGTGAAGGTAGAACAATCATGCTGTCTTGAAACATTGCTAAATAGCATCTGCTCCTTTTAAGTGAATCCACACGAAGAACCCAAATACGCTAATAGACCAAGAATCAAGTAAGAATGTAAGAATCAAGTCAAAAGCATTTTAATTCCAAACACATTTACAATCAGTAAGTAAGGGCTTTTCACTGCCAAAAGTGAGAGCCTGTTATTGCTGGAGTGTAGAGTGACTGTATGAGTGAAATAGTGTTTAGGTCCTACAAGTCTTTCTAAAGCATCAAACAGAAAGCTGTTCCCTCTTACTCATCAAAATGGGTATTGATCCATTCACGCTTTTTACCTGCTGCATACAACTTAATCAATAATTGAGCCAATTCTCATATGGAGGACACATTACTGACAGGAATAGCCTGTGTAAGTCCTAATAACAGAGAGCAATAATTCTTCTAAATGTGAAGCAAACTAACTAATAAATCATTGAGTAACTGGGATAAAAATAATCCTTCATTTACCTGTTCACTATTTTCCCAGCTGAGGTACTGATGGTGTTTAGTAAATGGCTGCACTGGGCTGTATCTATCCTCCTGGGCAGTGACTCTTGTAGTGCTGGCCATGTGGCTTAATGGGGCTTAATTCAGAAATGGAACAAGGACCAGCAGGACCAGTCCATTAAATATGGATGGTAACCAGGAGCAAGACTGTTTCTGCTGCTGTTACTAAAAGCTACATTTTAGGCTTTTACACTTAGGGTGGCTAAGTGAGCTCTAGCAGCATTTAAGTTACAATATGTTTTACTCATTGGTGGGGATACTGATACATGATGGACATAAGCTGAGGTTTCAGATCATGTGATCAGAGATGCGCCACAGAGCCCACTTGTCAGGCCGAAATGGGGCCAGTTGAACATACCATTTTAAACCACAACACAACATTAGCCTTCAATTTTACTATCCCCAACAGGATACATCTCTCTTGTCTTTGTGATGTTTGAATCTCCTCTCAGACCTCTTGGTATTGTGAACCTATTCGACACTGTCATGATATGGAGAAGTTTGAAAGATCATCAGACAATAAAGATGTTGCATTCTGTTGTGGATGTTTAAAAGTATTGAGTATGATACCGACACCATTTGCTGGTTACTGTTAATTTTTACTGGACAAACTAAATCCTTGCTGGGACGTCGTCCACATGGTTGAAGCTTAAGCTAATGTCCATACATCATTACTACTTACAATAAGTAACTTTTAACCAATGTTCTCTATGTCTGGAAAAATGTGCTTTAAGAGCAGATGAAGCCAGAGATAACTGTCAGAGGGGGGTTCAGAGATGCTAGGTGACCCTTCACATCATTTTACTATACATTCTCCAGAAATAATCCCAGCAAGAGTGTATACAATCATTCTAGCTTTCTTTATTGCCATGCTTTTCTCCCAGCATACAATGTGAGTTTAAGTGAACAAATAAAATCTGCCCCGTCAGGTTTCCTGTATCATAAACAGAATAATTAAGAGCAAAAAAGTCAAGAAAAAAAATAGAAGAATTGTTAAAGGGCAAGAGAGGAGGAGGGGGAAATGGAGAGGGAAGGATGAAATAGATGAGCTGAGCTCCTTCCCTTCTGCTGGTTTGCACACTGGGGAACCCATCAAGAACACCTGAGCAGGACCTCCAATGATATCCAGGTGGCTTCAGTGCAGAATGGCCCAATTTCACAGCTTACTCCATTTCTCTGTCTCTCTGTCCCTCTCTCCCTTCGTCCTTCTCTCTTGTTTTTTATGTTGCCATGCACTCATATGCACTGACGCTTCAGCCTCTATTTTGCCCCTGAGCATAGATGCTGACTGATGCAGGCGGGAGATGCAGGGCACAGCTGGGCCTGATTGCAATAATTTATTTAATTAAAACACGAGAGGATCCCACTGGATCGAGGGCTAGGGAAGACACAGGCTCTATTTATAGCTTTGAACACAGATGCAGCCACACACTCTGCAGTCGGGGAGAGCATGAAGACAAGCCAGGGGCTTCCTTTTGTGTCTCGAGACCAGGCTCATAATCCCATCTGAATGTGAGTGGGTGTGTGTGTTGGAGGGTTAAGACTTTTGTTTCCTTGTTTCAAGTATTTTATACCTTAGAGTCTACCTGAGCTTTTTCAAATTGTGGCCTGGGGCAGCCAGTTCAAAGTCTTTACAGTGTTTTTTTCATGTTGCTTGTCAGTGTGAAACAGTGCAGACAGCTAGCAAGGATGTGAAAGTAGCATTATCTATTGTTCAAAGTTTGTTAAACTATTCAAAACAACACACCTAGAGTTGCCACATTAACCTCTACGACCAACAAGAAACCATTTACTAGCAGCAGTTATACTTGGAAGTGATCTTTCAGTACTTTAAATTTATTAACACCTTCACACCACACACGTGCTTCATCTACCTATCATCCTTTTCCTTAGAACTCTAATCAGGGTGTGTATCTATCTATGCATACACTGCCTGTAAATACATGTCTCAAAGGTAAATTGGAATCAGTCTTTGGATGTAAACACATTCCCTGCTCTTACAGTAAGGAAATAATTGTAGATCTGCAGGTGTCACGTCTTCCTGCAGGGCTGCTTTATCAACAATTGTAGCGCTTTTAATAACTAATGAAAAACATGCTCTCGGCTGCCCAGTGCAATTTTGTCTGGCCCTTTTAGGCTTTTGAGCTATAAATATACTGTAGAATAGTAGGCCCAGTGTAAAGAAATGATAGGTGTGGAGAGTATGTTATCACAAAATGAATATCACAGAATAGAAAACAGCTGACAAAATGAGTATTTACTTCCATAAAAGTTTTAAATGGCTCACCTAAGTAATGGGTAGGCTGCCCAAAAACACCCATGTGGGGCCTCCCTCTTTGCCTTTGACTGCTAGAATAAACCATCCCACTAAATGTGCCTTACTGTTACTTACTGTTTTGTATTTACTAAAATAACATTGTACAGTATGTGTACAATATATACTTGGTTAAAACGTGAGGTGGAACAAATCATTGGTAGTGATACTGTCCCTTGCAATACATTATCAGCTCTGATACACATAAAACAATTCTCTTGGGTCATTGAGGCAGTGGTGTATTCTTCCTTTGCTAAATACATTTTAGCTTTGAACTTGTGCCGCCTTCTCATATTTCAGCCTTTGCACAGTTCATGGCTCATTGATATTCAAATAACACCACATGTGTACATGCTGTCATATGCATGTGTGAGTCTGATTCTATATTTGATACTTTTTTCTCACTGCCACTGGGAATGCTGCTCTTTCAACGGTGTGTTTGAGAGAGCGCTTTTTCCCAGTTTTTACATTCCCTCTGGACACACACACCAAGATGTATGTGAATGTGCACATGCATGATTGTCCACCCACCTTTGAGTCTAAGTGCAGCCACTCCTATCAAAGCCAACTTTACGTCAGAGCACTGAGTGGCTGTCAGAACCCTAGGAACATTCGTGTCCTCATTTGAGTAAACACTGGTACTTGAAATGGGAGATATTCAAAAAGGATGGCGCTTGTAAAGATCAGAGAGTTTATGTTCTTGTGCTGTGCAGTTTGGTGGTTTGCATTGAAAGGAAGTGAAAAAAATCAAAGATTAACATGTGTCTGTAACAACACTGTTTAGATGCCAACCTGTGACCCCACTTGGCTTAATAAGGATAAATCATTAACTTTGTTGAGGAGAAGACAGGCCATATAACTTAAAGCGCAGTGAACACTTGGTGGTTAATTAAGCTGTCTGATAGTACTACTTTTTCAAAGGACATAAACCTGAATCACTATTTGCTCTAGTTTAACTGCCTCTCCAGGTTTTATAAAAAAAATTAAATAAAAAAAATCATAATCATTGGTCAACACAAATCTTCTTACTGTGGTGATAGTTGTGTCTGTATTTGTGGTTGTGAGTGAGTGAATGTCTTTGTGCTTATGTGCATATGAGTGTAGAG